ATTCATCTTGGTTGAATATCTTTTTCTAATAAAAGCACTTTTTGATCTTCATCCTTAATGCACTTCACTTGAACAAAATCATTATTTCTCCAATATCTTTGCTTGGCTAACTTATACATATATCTTTCGTCTTTAGCATCTAATCTATTATATAAATCATTAAATTTTAAATTCTTTGTATCACATATTATTTTCTTATATTGCTTACGAGCCTCTTTATATCTTTCGTAATTTTCTGAGATGTTACATCTATACCAATTTTTATAACAAAAATTTTTATTCTTAACCTTTTCTTGCACATTTTAATTCTACCACCAACTATTTTTACTATTATGAGTGTTGCGTCTTGAAATATTCGCAGCGGTAGATAAATATAAAGTTAAACGTCTTAGCTTTATACAAAGATCCAGCACGCAATCAGATAAGAGAGAGGGTGTGTCATTCATAAGAGACGTCAAGATTTTTACATGAAAAACCCTTAAAAGGGGAGAAACCATGAGGCCTAGCCCAATTTGAATGAATCCACTGGTATTTGTATTTGATTACAAATGAGGCCCTAGATTGGGGGGAAGGCCTTGGCTTGATGTTACAAATATACATCAAAAGAGTGTGTTATATGGTGGAAACAAGAAGAATCACTGTTAATGTCTTCGTTTGGTCAGAAGGATCGTAGTCTTCAAGCGACAAAGGTCATAAAGACTGTTGTCTAGCGACGGAGGTTGGAAGGACTGCAGTCGACAGGCGACGGAGGTCGGAAGGACTATTGACAGGCAGAAGTCCGATGTCGGGTAAAAATTCAGTAACGGACGAAAGTTATGCATCGGATACAAGTCTGACAAAAGTCCGGTGACAGGAAGAAGTTCGACAACGGGTGGAAATCCGGCATCGGGTAGAAATCCGGCGATGGGTGGAAGTCCGATGTTGGGCAGAAGTCCGTTGAAAGTTCGGTGACGGGAAGTAGTCCGACGAATGGCAGAACTTCGGCGTCGGGTAGAAGTCATATGAAAGTCAACGGATGGGCAGAACTCTGACGTCAATTGGCATTCGGGCAGAACTACGACGTTGGTAGGCTCAGGTGGAAGTCCAACGGTGGTCGAAGAAGAGTCTGGTGGCAAGAGAGTTCTCTTCTTTCTCTTCATTTTCTTCCTTCTCTTCTTGCTTGGGCCTCCTTTTCTTCCCCCCACTTGAGGGATCCCTTTTTATGAGAAATGAGGGGTCTATTTATAACTTTTTGAGAGTGGTATGACCAGTAAATCGGAGGATGATCAAGGATGAATTGGGGTGGTTTACATGGACGATCGATGTTGATTCCCTTGATCGTGGACCGTTCATTGGGCATTTGAATGTCTTAATGATATTAGAATGACGATCTTGGGCTCTGGATTCGTCTCATCGAGCCGCTCGATTCGACTATAAGCATGTCATGCTTGAAAACTGTTTGGTAATCCAAATTAGGGATTGAACCTTCTGAATGTGCTTCGTATATTCAATTTGGACTCATTTGGGCTCAGATTGAGCCGAATTGGTGTCGTTGGCTTCGTATTTCCGAGACGTTCAGTTCGACTATAAGTTTGTTGAAATTGGAGTTCAGATGATCCCGGATTTAATTTTTGAAGTTTCCAACTTGATTTTGTTTCGAGATTCGTGCTCGATCAAACATAATTTTTTGATGATATATTAAGGAGTTTTTTCCTTTTGATACTCTATGCACATCTTTTGCAACATTTTTAATATCATTAAATATTTTTTTCCATAACATTAGCTTCCTCATGTAAAATCAGAATCTTAAGATCTTGAATTTTACTCTCAAAAATATTTTTTAATGTTCTTTAAATGCCAACATCTAATCCTAGAACAACATTTTACTTTATTTTTCATATTTCTACCTCTTCATCTTAAAATTCAAAATTAATAAGCGATGTTGGATACATAAACTTTCACTTGAAATAACTTTACAATCTTTGCAATCTAAACGATCTATTTTTCTTATAAGAAAACAATCAACCTCAGTTTTACTATATCAATTCTTATAAGTGATGAGATACTCATCTCTTTTTTTTAATAATTTATTAGCAATTATAAAATTACAAGATAGAGAAAAATCTAATATGTATCTACCAGCTTCATTAGTTGCTCCAAATCCATAACCACCATAAATAATTTTAAAATATTCTACCTCTCTATCAATGTCTATTTAAATATTCCTCAATAAAAACTCTATTTTCAAGAGATATCTTTTGTATTAATTCTTCTAAGTTATTCTAAATTTTTAATTTTGAACACATATCAAAACATACTTGAGAAGCATAAGCACTTATAATATTAATAATATTAACATCAATAACACTTTTTAAAGATATGATTTTATCTCCAATTCTCTTAATTTCTACAACATTATCCATCAAACTATTATCTATAATCACACGTACATCATTTCAAATATGAGTCCTACATGAATACCTAGTTTAAACCCTAAACTATCAATCTCCTTATTATTCTCTCCAACTATTTAATTTTCTGAATGTATAAAATATTTATCTTCCTATGAATCATAATATCTATTAATTCAATTAATTTTTCTGTAAGAAAATATATATTCCAAGTTCATATCCTAATTCTAGTTTCATGGACTCACTCATTTGCCAACATCCATCCGTGATGTGAGAACCCTTGCTTATTTAACACTATAGTTGGGCGCCAGTAAAGCAACCCTTACACAATTCTCACTGTATTCAGGTCATACAGCAAACCATTTCAAAAGAACTTCCTAGCAATACCATAATATATTAAAATATTCATGTTATGATTATTTCACAAGTTTTACGCTAGTTGTTAACTAACTAACGCAACGCTCCACTTTTCTCATCCAAGACTTAAGACCTTACAATAGTCGTGCTAATCAATTAAAAATAGATGAAAAATAAAAATTTAATTATTACTATTTTATAAAATAAAATTTCTTGTTAATTAACTTTCTATATTACAATACTTTAAATTTATTATTCTAGTTACAATTTTAAAAAATATTAATTTAATAAATTTAAAAATATCATCACCTAATACATATGTATCTACTTCAAAAAATGAAATTATAAATTAGGTTTCACTAAAAATAAATAAATTTTTTGAATTAATTAAATCTTACCTTTCATCATCTTCCCAATTTGCCCAATTGTTGCAAGTAGTCAAGCCCTAGCTTTTTCGCCCGTGCTCGTCTCTTCTAGGCTCGCCTACTCTTTTTTTCTCGATCTCTCCCCATCTCCCTCTCTCTGATTTACAGAGGACTGGACCATTGCCTTTAGCTCCCCATCCGCGACTCCTCGTGATTGAACCCTTCGTCTCCATCGAACGATTATGGAACCGGCCAACCCTTCGACTCCTCATTTGAGAATGAAACAAACTTCCTTCCTCTTCCTCAACATCAAGTAATGGACACTCCTATGCCTTCCTCCAATGCTCCTTTGCCTTCACACAACAAAGTTATCGAGTAATGAAACAAGAAAAGACAATTGGTCCTTCGCCTCCTCATGACTTTTTATTTTGTCTCCTACGTGATTCCAACTAATGAGACCAACACTCATCGATACAATAAAGTTTGGAAATTGGAATATTACATTAGTGCCTTTTGTTATCCATTCATTTATTTTCATGGGAAAAAAACTTCATTGAAATTTCCAATGTAGCTCCAATCTTCTTTTAAGGAATGACAAATCGGGAGAAGAGGCAACCTGCTAACCATACTAAGTGGAGGCTAAAGAGTCAACCTAAAGAGAGGGGTGTGATCAATGGTCACACAGCCAACCTCTTACACTCATCAATAAGTTTGAGGCATGAGAAATAAATAAATAATAATTAAATAGTGGTATGACAACGACCCTCTTCATACATCATATTTGTATAAGAAAGTTTGGAAGAGACAAGAAAGATACAATGAGCAAGATCAAGAATAATGATATGCTTGCCAACTAACCCCTCCTACGCACCTCAAAGCTTCGAAGTGACAGGGCGCAAGAGAAAGAAGCAATGAAAAAGATAGAGAAGTCGAGATACCAAGTTGTAAATTTATTCAAAAAAGTAAATAAATTAATTTATTGTTTTAGAATGGAAAACATTTTCAATCAATTACCAACAAATCCCAAATGGAAAGGAACAACTTGCTAATAACCATAAATATAAGGGAATAATTCAGAGATTTCAAACAACAGAGACATAAGGGTTAATTTATGCGGCCATACCCTTACATTTGCAAAATGTCTAATTCTAAAATTTGAACCTAAGACCTCCATATTACATTAGAGGCAACTTCCATATTACATTATAGGCAACTTAACAATTGTTAAAGGTCCACACCATCAAACGGAGCAAATCCTATGCTTACCAAACATGTTTTGGTCATATCGAAAAAATAATCCAACTTCACAGACAAATAGCCACTCAATGTTACTCCACTGTGAAGCGCATAGAAAAAATAAATCAGTTAACACAAGAAGGATAATATTTGAACAACATTAATAACCCAAAACCAGGCCAATTTCTTGATATTTCAAGCAATGTTAAAAACGACAAGCCATGCTCTCCTAAGTTAAAACTTGTTCAATATACCTTAATGGCCCATTTCTACAAAAATTAATTATTCCCACTAACATTTGCACCATAATAAGCTGTTCTGCTTAAAAATTGATGCACATAATATCAGACTCAGTATGCTATGGTGAAATTCAGGCTTTCGCAGGGCTCGTTCAGAACGTCAGAAGGATTGCTGGAGCTAGTAAGCCATGTTAGATATAGGTGTTTCACAAACCAAAATTATTTCCCTAGAAGTATAAGATAGAAATTTGCACTAGGATGTCATTCAAAAATATTTTAAAAAAGAGCATTTTTTTGTGAAGAAAACATGAATTGAAACCCAGAAATTCAATTCTCAAGCAAGAAAACAGAAAAATAAATAAATTGCTCAAAATATCAATGAAGTTAGGATAGACAACTCATGAAAAGCATACATGATTGCCACTTGTTAACCGTCATGGTATTGATTTTTTTAGTGTGTCCAACTACAGCTTGGTCATTTAAAGTAGAGCCCAATGTGAAAAGGCAAGAACCAGTCGTACAATCCCAAACCTATTTCATGAAAACAAAAAGAAAAGTGTAAATTGAAAACTATAATTTCGAATGCTTGAAGCTAAGCCAAATACTACCTTCAACAGATTTGATCCACATGAAACAATGCTTGCACCCCTCACTGCAAATTCAACAGCCTGGATCTGTTCAGAGTAAAATTTACTCAGCCGTTGCATTATCTAACACCAACATAGTGATCAATCCACTTGTTAAGTGAACAAATACTTTTTCTTATATTATGATAAACCTTTTTTTAAAAATGGATTACTTAAAATAACGTCATAGGATAATAGCTACGAATTCTAAGATAGAGACCAATGAAGATCACCCTCATGATAATTACTCCAGAGAGCAATTTTCCTTAACACTGGAAAGAAAACAAAATCAAGTAAGAGATATGAATCACGCTAATGAAAAAAACAGAATTTTCAGAATGAAACAAATCCCGACTCTAATTAATGGTGCAGCAAACATTCTGCAATATGATTTAAGAACAGATTTCTACACTATGCCTGTTCAAGTATTATAAAAATGATTGAGTTGATCAATCCAAAAACAACAAGAATAGACAAATAAAGCCAGAAATCCACATTGACTAACACAAGAATGACTTCAACTACAGAATTTGCACTGATTTAATACAATAAAATAAGTTGAAGCATGGAAACGAAACACGGCTGAGTTTACAAATACCTGACAGTTGTGACCATTGAGTTGGATTGCCCTTCCAGAAAGAAGATTGTACAGAAGCAACTCATTTGGCGCCTGCATACAAGATGATGCCATTAACAAATAATAAAATGAATTGTAAGCTTATTCTTACTAAATAAGTGGGAAAAAAGCTTTTTATTGAAGAAGTGAGAACAGAAAAAAAATGCAATCTATAACAAAGTGGCATATAAGGGCCAAACAATGTTTTATAAGAAACCCAGACGCCTCATACACGTTACCAACCTCATTAGAGCTACAAACAAGTTGAGGCAGCCCTTCCGGGTGAAATCTAACATCAAGAACCTTTTGTACACCTTGCTGAAAGAAAATAACTATTAGAAACAAAAGTCTCATTAGCAGAGGGAAATACTCCCTCTCAAACAACAATCTAGCTCCTACAAAACTTTCCAGAATATTCAGCATAATTGAAAAAAAAAATGATGAAACATAATGAGAAAAATGGAGAAAAAAAAAGATCAAAATAATCTATGGACTATTTGTCCAAGGCCATTTTAGTCCCAACTAATTCAATGTATTCAATTTAGTCCCTTGATTCCTCAATTATGAATAAAAACAGTCCTTTTGTTCAATTATTTTAGATCTGATTTAAGGAGTTTAGGGACTATTTTGGATCAAATTTTAGAAGCAAAGGGATTATATGGACAAATTAGATAGTCTAGTACTAAAAGGCCACATAAATAATCCAGAGACTATTTTGACCTTCTTTTCGAGAAAAATAGAATAATTTATCATAAAAATTTATTTACTTCCAAATATAGATAGCAAGATAATCCCAAATCAACTCAACACCACAATAAAATTGTATTATAATATCAAATTGACTTCGGAATAATAATGTGCCAATGTGGAATGCTATGAATCCAAGAGGAATTCTACAAGCTAGGATTTTCCCATGAGGGCATGCAAAGATCTATGATTTTCCTTTGATGAGACCAAATGCAAGAAAATTCTTAGATAATAATGGAAGAAGAGATTACCCTAAAATTGATCAACAAAACCATAATTAAGAGATCTTGCATGCACTCTTGCAGGATAAAATAGAGAGAAAACTAAGGATCAAAATTAAACGAGAGGCATAATAGATTTCATGCAGAGAGGTGGGAGTGAGTGAAGGAGGGTGTTAGGAAACACATGCAGGAATCAAAGAGGACTTGGCTGAAATTTGGAATTTCAGCAAGGAGAAAACAGAAATTGAGACAAATCTTGTGGCAAAACACAAGAGAAATTTGGTAATTGATGAAAGGTGAAAGAAAACAAACTAGATACAATGGATCTTCAATTCGAGAGGAAGATCCGGCACCCTCAATCCCTAACCGGCGGCTAGAGCGCAAGCAAACCTGAGAGAAATCTCAAATTCAGCAAAAACAGAGATAACCCTAACCCTAACCATTCCCATCTCTGTAAAGCATACAAATATAATTCTAATTACTAAACAGACCCTCCCAAATTCAATTCCCTCCTAAACCGCCCCCTCCTCTTGATTTTTATTCAAATAATAGGCCCACAAGGGAGGTTGCCTGTTGTTCAACTCACCTGAAATAAACCCTTCGGCCTTATGTTGGGCTGACTAGACCAGTCCTTCTTGGACCGATCTAACAATACCCCCTCCCTAAGAATTATCTTATCCTCAAGGAGAAAGGATGAAAACTGATGCTTCACTCTCTCCTATGGCTCCTAGGTAACGTCATAATCCGATAAATTCTTCCATTTTATCAGAACCTCCGTGGCCCCTTCTTCTCTCTGTCAAACCTCTCTAAACTCTAGCGGTTCTAATAACACATCTAAATCCTCTGTCAATGTCACAGGTAACTCTGAACCAGCTACATGATCCCCAATAGCCCTCCTTAGTTGTGACACGTGGAACACTGGATGTATAGTAGTGGTCGATGATAATCTCAAGTGATACGCCACTACTTCAATCCTCTCCAATACATCATATGGGCAAAAATACAATGGGGCGAGCTTCTCATTCCTCCTGTTGGCAACCGTCCTCTGTAAGCAGAGTTGCAGCTTTAATAACACTTTATCCCCTACTTCGAACTTGATGTTCTTGTGTACACCTTCCTGCTTCTTCATAATTTGTTGTGCCCTCAATATGTGCATCTTCAATTCCTCCAACAACCCATCTCTTTCCTCCAAGTATTGATCTACTGAAGAAACTGGTGTGCTCATCTGCCCAAAATGCACCAAGTGTGGAGGGTCTCTTCCGTACAACACTTTGAAATGAGTCATCTGGGAAACCGAATGATATGAAGTGTTGTACCAAAGCACATGACAGCCACTTGGCCCACAATCGATGTGTCTCTGAACCACAACACCACAGGTAAGCTTCCACACTCCTATTTACCACATCCGTTTATCCGTCTGAGGGTGGTAAGCGATGCTCCTCTTTAGAATTGTTCCTTGCAGCCATAACAACTCTCTCCATAAATGACTAAGGAACACCATATCTCGGACAGAAACTATCGATTCTGGGATCCCATGCAATCTAGCCACCACTCTGATGAATGTTGTTGCCACTGTAACTGTTGTGTAAGGATGTCGTAAGGGAATGAAATGAGCACATTTTCTCAACCTATCAACCACCACTAGAATCACTGTAAACCCCTCAGATCGGGGTAGCCCGTCTATGAAATCCATGGTGACCTCCTCCCACATTCTGTCTAGAAGAGCCAAGGGTTGATGTAATCCTCCTGAAGCCATAGCCATGTACTTGTTTCTCTGGCATACCTCGCACCTAGCCACCAGCTCCTCTACATCCATATACATCCACTTCCAATAAAATTATGTTGTCAATCTCCTATATGTCTTCTACACACCAAAATGGCCCCCAACAGCACTTCTCACATGGAACTCCTGCAGCAGGTGGGGAATATAAACCGAGATCCGTGGCAGCATAAACCTTCCTTGGTATAATAGTCTCTCTCCCTCTAGGGAATAATCAGGGTGGCTACTCTCATCCCTCAATAGATCCATCATAATCTTCCTCGATTGCTCATCATGTACATTCTCCTCTTTTACAACCCCCCAATTTACCATTAGTGGTATTGAAATGGTCATCTCTTGGAGCTCTCCCAGACTCCCATGCAATTGGATAAGGAATCAACCTCCTTGTTCACTAATCATGGCATGTACTAAATCTCAAAGTCATAATCCAACAACTTTGACAGTCACCTCTGATGCTCCTAAATCACCATCCTTTATTCTAGCAAGTACTTTAAGCTCCTCTGGTCTATCCTGACAATAAAATGTCGGCCCAATAAGTAAGGCCGTCATTTCTAAATGGCTAAAACAATGGCTATCAAATCCCCCTCACAAACTGACTTCAGCATACCTCTGGTTGTCAACACTTGGCTGAAGTAAGCTATGGGTCTATGATTCTGTATAAGCACTGCCCCCAATCCATACACAGATGCATCTATCTCTACCACGAAAATCTGATTGAAATCAGGTAAGAATAGAACCGATACCATAGTCATGGCCTCCTTCAAACTCTCAAATGTCTGGGTAGCTGCATCCCCCCACAAGCAGCTATTTTCTTCAACTGCTCTTTCAATGACCAGGCTATGGTATTGTACCCTCTCACAAATCTCATATAGTATCTCGCCAATCCTAGGAAACCCCTCAGCTCTCTCAGATTCTTAAGTAGTGGTCATTTCAGCATTGCTTCAATCTTGGTCTAATCAGCGACTACTCCCTCCTGAGATATTACATGCCAAAAATATTCTACATTGGCCTGTGCAAAACAACACTTCTTCAGGTTGGCCCTCAGTTGCTACTTTTGTAACACCCCTAAGACCACTCTCAAGTGCTCCAAATGCTCCTTCTCTGACTTGTTGTATACTAGGATGTCATCAAAAAAAACATTACAAAATTCCAAAGGTATGGTTAGAATACCCTGTTCATCAGGGACTGGAAAGTGGGAGCGTTGGTGAGACCGAACGGCATCACTAAGAACTCGCAGTGTCCCTTATGTCTTCTGATTGTGATCTTTAAGGCATCCTGCTCTCTCATCTTGATTTGATGGTATCCTGACTTTAGGTCCATCTTGGTGAAGACCATAGCTCCACACAGCTCATCTAATAGCTCATTGATCACCGAAATGGGAAACTTGTTCGGCACAGTCTCGTTATTCAAGGCCATGTAATCCACACAAAATCTCCAGCTCTTATTCTTCTTTTTGACCAGCAAGATTGGGCTAGAAAAATGACTCACACTTGATCTGATGTTCTCCGCCTCCAACATCTATTGGATTTGCTATCAATCTCATCCTTCCAAATCTGAGGGTAGTGATAAGACCGGACACTAATCGATGACACTCCCTCCCTCAAGATGATGGTGTGCTCCTGCTCCCTCGGTGGTGGTAAGTCTTGAAGGGGGCTGAAAGACCTCCCTGAATTGTTGTATAAGTGGATGTACTTAAAGTAAAATATCCCCCCTTCTTCCATTCTGATCCCCTCTAAACTCTGCAACTCTACCAAAAATCCTCCTCCCACCTCATGCATGGTGCTCACCATGATTTTGAGAGACACCATGGCTTTGGATTAGAATAGACGACTTCTACTTTCCTTCTGGCCATTTGTACCTGGATCGAATCTCTCTGATACCATTTTTTTAGGAACACGTGCAGGAATTGAAAAGGGATTGGCTGAAATTTGGGATTTCAGCAATGAGAAAATAGAAATTGAGATAAATATTGTGGTAAAACACTAGGAAAACTTGGTAATTGATGAATGATGGAAGAAAACAAACAAGATACAATTGATCTCAAATTCAAGAGGAAGATCCGGCTCTCCTAATCCCTAACCAGCGAATAAAGTCCAAGCAAATATAAGAGAAATCCCAAATTCAACAAAAAATAGAGATAACCTAACCTTAACCCTAACCCTTCCCATCTCTTTAAAGCATACAAATATAATTCTAATTGCTAAATAGCCCCTCCCAAATTCAATTCCCTCCTAAACCGCCCCCTCGTCTTGATTAATATTCTAAAGAGAGACAGAGCTCAAGTCGCGTAAAGAGGCATCGGGCTCAGCTTTGCTTGCATGTGAAATGGGTGGGAGATGAGCCCCATCGTTCAGTTATGTGTGCAGCGAATCAAACGGACCTCAAGATCCTGCTCACATGTCTATGAGTTGAACGACCAAAAAGCCCTATGCCTGCAAACAAGAAAGACGAAGCGGCTTTGTGCCACTCTAGATCGTATTGCTTCGATTATTGAGAGGTCGAGAGCAGGAGGGAAAGACGTCGAAAGGTTTTTGTGTACCAGCGCTAGAAAATGAGAAAACTAAACTGAATTCACATAAGTCACCCCTATTCGATCGTTTATCCGATTTATTTACATGATTGAGGCATCAATTTCTTCAACCATGTGGGAATGTGTGAATGACATAGATTTTTTTTATTTTTCATTAAATATATCCAAACAAGGTCATAACCCTTCCTAATTAGGACGGAGATTAATCACTTTATCCAGCAAAGTTTTCAGAATGATAAATACAAAAAATATAATCCCTTGAACAATTTTGATGATTTTATGTCGTAACATCCTAATGATGCATACCAAACGAAATTGAACATCATAAAAAGGGGCAATTTCACCATTTTTAATTGATGCTAGAAAGATCACATTTAAAGGTTTCATGCTAATCAGTGATAATTAATTAATATAATCTTCCGTCAACCAAAATTGGCAAGTCTAGAAATAGAAATCAATACTCTTGATTTCTTGACGGTTTGCAGTTTATTGGGAGAAGAAGAAACTAGAAGTCCTTGATGGTTTTCAAATTATTGAGAGAAGACGAAACTAGAGCAAGGAATTCCCTGAGAAGATTTTTGGTAAGGGCACATTCGCTGCAAGTTGAGAATAACCGTAAAGAGGAAATAGGTGAACGCAGAGTTTGAGATTTTGGATCATGTCCAGGAGCAAAAGTGGAAGCAACAACACAGTGAGATGTGTGGAAACGTGGAGGTAAAAACGCACAAAAGTAGATGCAAGCTCTGATGTCATGTGATGGAGTGTAGAGCAATTGAAATAGATGAAAAAGAGAGTGGAATATCAAAAGGTGAAAGAGATGGACAAGTGGGCTATAGAGAGAGAGAGAGAGAGAGAGAGAGACCAAAAAAAGGAGAAGAGATAGGCAACCTAAAATGAGAAAGACTTAGATAGTTGTTCAAAGATCAATTTCCAAAGTCATACTCATAAATTCCTCGATCTAAACCCCAGGGTGCCATTTACTGTTAAAAAAACTAAAGAAAACTGAAATTTAAAAAGAAATTAAATCTTAACTTATGGGTAAACCCAAATATATTTAAAAGAAAACCAGATATTTGCTAAGCAAAAATCACAAAGAAAAAATAACTAATCATTAATGTTATCTTAGCCAAACATATATTGATCAAACATACCAATCAAATATTTATTTATTTTAATTATTCTATGTTAAATGCACATATAAAAAGCATTATTTGAAGTAGCTCGTGGCTAACTAAACTAAGAGGAACCACTCTATATGATTAAAAAAATTATTTGGCTTAATAAGCACAAATAAATAAATTTATTTGTGAAATGTATAACGTATCATGCTTTTGGCAGCATGTATATAAACACTTATGGGGACTGAACATGCCAAGTTCACCCAAAAAATTCACTGATCAAACAATATGAAGCATCAAATCCCATTATCCAGCATGTAGAAGGCCAACCTAAAAGCAAGGTGCCTTCTTTGCGACACATAGGTCATTGTATTGAATCCCGAAAATACTCTATTCAAAACAAGGAGTAAGAAAAGGCAGTGTTCATCAAGAAATCAACCCACTCTCAAACTTTCATTTAGGGAGCCTTGTAAATTATTATGATGCACCTTTCAAAGAAAAACCAACACTTAATGACAACCAATTTTCACAAAGGCTTGTATAGCAAGTGATAGTATCGGTAAAAATTGAAAAATTACCACAAAAAAAAAACTCAAAATCTCTTTAATGACAAATTAAAACTTTACCCTCCCATGAGGCTGAGCAATAGCAACACTTGATGCGTAGGCACACCAAGTAGGAGCCCATGAAGAATAATTTTTACGTTTCAATAACACAGCCGGCCCTTCAAATTGGCATTCAAGTGATCGCCAACCTATTACAGATTAAAAAGAAACAAATCATATTAACTATATAACAGTTACCAACCAACTTTAACAAACAAAAATTTACATATATATATATATATATATATAGAGAGAGAGAGAGAGGAGAGAGACACACATGCACACGAGCACGCGCCTTGAAGCCATAATTTAAATTTAACCATACAAAAAACATCAAACTACAAATTTCTAATATTAAGAATATGGATAAGAGACCAAAACATACCTTCCAATAATGGGATTCCCCGTCTCTGATTCATTCCAGCATAACCACCAGATGAACAATACAACGGCTGTGTAACACCTAGCTCTCTTCCCAGCAAGCACATTGCAATATTCTTATCACAGGATGACCGCCTAAAAGATGAGGAATCTTTTCTAGCTTCTACAGAATGCGAATAAGATGAGCTATTTGTTTGATTAGGAGCTGTACTCCAACTTAACTTCATGCTCAAAAAAAATTTTAACTAGATAGAAAATTAAAAAAAAAAAAAGAAGACTATAAATAACTGAAGCAATTATGCAATGCATAAAACACACCCTCAAGCAGCTAGGATCTATTCTAGCAGCATATTTTGTTTTATGTCCTCATTTATATCTCATTTTTTGTACAATAGATTTAAGGAATTTGTATTATCATATTGTGGAGTCACTTAAACTTCCAAAAACACTAAAAAAGTAAATCAACATCCACTAAACTATTCAAACTGCACTTAAAGCACTCAAAGTCTGTTAATTTCATTCAAAGCCCCCTTAGCTTCCAAAATTTCTTCCATGGTTTAAACATCTCTTTAAAAAGATCACATATATCAAAACTATTGCATCTATAAAGAACAAATACAAGACACCACACTTTTAATATTATTTGCAAACATCACCGCAGCCAAATTAACCAATGCAAAAAGATAATAATTGAGACTGATCATAGATGTAAACTTACAGTTATTGGAAATTTTCTTATAAAATGCATAATTCTCCTTTTTTTCATTCTTAAAAAAATTCTAATTAGAAAATATTTTGAAAGCAGATAAAAATAGAATTACACTCTCTCATTGACGGCTTCATCTTTATTAAGTGCAGTATAGTAATCAGCATTAATAAATCAAATTTGACCAGATTATCTCTTCATGACTTAAATATGTAATAGTCTATTCTCTTTCCATGATATCAGATAAATCATCTCGTAGCTTCGACTTTGCTTTCATCATGTACATTTGTATTGATGTCACGCATTTTTTTGTTCTATAAAATAAAATTATCAAGCTCTCATATAGAATTATGAGTAGCTCAGTTAATCTGCCCATGTGACCATACGTCAGGGAGAATATGCACAAGCAAAATAAAGATTCCCTATGCACATTTCCCATACCAACCAAAAGGTCCAAAACTACTTACAAAAGTACAAAAATTCTATTTGAAAACTTTCAGCTTCATTTAATAATAATCATTGGCTGGATAGTGTTTGTTTTTGCCATTCTTCTTCTTAATAACCTTTTGAATTTCCTCTTTTTATCACTAAATCTCATCAGTAATGTCTAGTTCAACATAAAATTTATGTGTCTATTCTTCTAATTAATGTAAATCATTTATTCCAATCAAGTTGTGTTTAACTATTAAACAGCAATTTTGCCACCCTTGACAGCTTTTCTTGGACAACACCTTTCAACCTGTTAATATCTTGTCCTAGGATATTATTTATTTCCATTACTTTCACATGCTACTGATGTACATCCACAACTACTATTCTATGATTTTGATGAAAATTTGCTAGGACCCATCTCACAATTTTTTCCAAAGGATTTTTATCTTCATAAAGTCTTTCTAATTATAGTTTATACTCTTTATACATCTCATTCTTAATCCATTATTAATTCTCTCATAACACATCTTGCAGAAACAATAAAGTATCTAATTATGACACCATCAATAATCATCCTCTGTTATGACACCCATAACCGCAGAAAAGTGCACAAGCCCCATCACCATTTGTAACATCGAAACTACAATTTTCTTGTAATCTGGAAGTAAAAGCACGTTCATGGCTAGCATGGGAATCAAAAGATTTTTCAACATGTTCTTTAACCATAAATTCAAAAGGAAAAAAAAAAGTACGCATATTAAATTAGTTCATATCATATGAAAAGAACAAAACAATAGAGTATAGACATCACAAAAATAGCACTCATACATGTGTTTGTTGACCTCGATTTTGCCCAAGCTTGGGCATGGTGGTTTGAGTTGACCAAGTCAACCTTTGACTTGGTCAACCCAAGCCTGACCCATTAGGCCCATTAAGAGCCCAAATCCATGTCAAATAAAGTCCAATCCGTTTCATGGCCCAATAACTCTTCCCATTTGACTAAATTGACTAGGTTAGGTCATGGCTTGGTCAACCCAAGCCTTGACTTGGTCAAACCTAGTCTTTTTAGGTCAAATCAATTCTAATTAATGCATTTAAGGCCTATTTAATTCCCCAAATCAATTTCCTTCGTTTTGGATTTCAAACCACGGCCTAAATAGCCTGGTTTCCCTCCCAATTAACAGGTGATTCGATCCTAGCCGTCCACTCTAGGTCTAGGAGCCTTAAATAGCAAAATTTAGGAGGAATTAAGGATCTTTTGGCAATTACACAGGCTCCAGACCTCCTCAAGCTTTGAGATTTGGTGTGAGAGTTCCCACGGCCATCCCCTACCTTTCCCGACCAAAATCCCGCCGGCCAAGCCCGTCGCCGGCGAGAACTCCGGCGAAACCAATCCCCACGTCCCTTCCAGGCTGATTTCCGCTCGATCCAAGGAGAACCAGGGTTCGACATCAACTAGAGAAATACTCATGCAGTTTCAACGAATCCAACGAGCCCAAGAACGCGAAAATTCGACGGTTAGATTTCTCAAAATCCCTTAGAATATGTCACATAGTTTCGGGTTAAATAGCTTTTCGAAAAGCTGATTATTTTCCAAACGAATTTTTCCCCATGATTTATGTTAATGTATAAGACTTGTGTTTAAAATTTCGCGAAGTTTCGTTGAGTATCGAGTGAGAACGAAGCAAAATAGTGCTTTAGGGCTTGGTCCGGCCATATGCATGCATGGGATGAATCATGGACCGTCGGATTCGAGATCCACGGTCCAGATTTTGCTGTATGCTGTGCTGGTTTGATCCGCCGTTCATTGAGTTGCTAGATCGAGTCGTCCGTTTCGAATGGCACGGGATCGGATGGCTGTAGCGGCCCGATGACGTGGATGAGTGGCTTTGACCTTGATTGCGGCATGATTGCCGCAATCATTGGTTGGCAGCGCAATCGCCAATGATTGGCTGCATGAGGCGGAACCAATCCCGCCACGCCACGTGGCGCCGCCTTTATTTAATATTATTTTAAATTTTTTTAAAAAAATGTGTTTTAAGCTAGTTCCATTCAAAAAATCACCCAAAATTCGTTTTTCGTCCGATTTTCGCGTGTAATATATCGAATCGTTTGTATTTTCATCCCCGTTATTTTAAAATTAATTTTGTTTAAAAATGATTTATATTTATTTAGTAAAGAAAGGATTAGTGAATGATTAGGATTTGAGGCTACTACATTCGGTCTCGTAGTATGCCTTAAATAGTAGGTAGGTCCCTTCCTTTCAGGGACTATAAATCCTACTTATCCGCGTCACAGGATGACGTCACCTCCATCCTTCTCTCACGCATGTGATTGGATGCCTTGACTTTTATTTTTTCTAGTTTCTCTTTAGTACCCTAGAGCCTCTGAATGCTGGTATGAGCCACGCATGTTGATTCAGCCCTTCGGACCTTTTCCTCCTCTTGAGTAGGACTTCCTAGTCTATACCCCTGTGCCAATTCCACTTTAGGAGAGGATAATGTATGATCCTTAATCGAGAGTTTTCTCGGGCTCCGACCTGGGATGTAATTAACCACGGGGGCTTGCGTCCGTGGGAAACTCGGTCCCACATCTACTAAACCCCATTCGAACTGTTGTATCGGATGGGGGAAGCCCATAATTAGGTCGTGTATATTACTACCCATCAAGGGGTGTTGGCGACAGCCTCTATCCTCAATGGTTAGTCGTATGCACGATCCAATCTGTCCCTTCCAATTGACCCGTTCGCACTGGGCTCTTTCGGAGGTCCACAGTGTTATTTGTCAATACTTATATCCATAGATATGCATCAGTGTTTTACATAGAAGCATATATCCAGATGACCGAAATGTTAAATAAGCCTCAGTACAGAACATTGATGCTTCCACGTCAAAAAGTCTGAATGAAATGGATTCAAAAAGTTTTGAGCTCCACAACCAAAATCATATCATAAATACAATCAGTCACATCAACTTAAAATTCTAGCTTATAGTATAAGATGAAAGAATCTAAAGCTTTAATTATATCATAATGTAAGGTGGCAGATCAATCAAACAGATGTCACCATCATGAAATTTTGTTCTTCGCATAATTTTAAGAAAACAAAACCCTTTTACAGGCCAACATGAAGAAAAAAGTCTATAACAAAAGATAGGCAGAAATCAATATTTTATTTTCATTGAGTGGAACAGTTTTGCCAATAGATCTACAAATACAACTACAAGCACAATGAGTCTGTCATCTCAAATTTATTCAATCACTAATAGGCAAGATGCATGGCACAACATAAAACATGAATAAACTGAAAAGCTTTTTTTTCCTAAAATGAAAACATGCTTTTTTTTTCTAGGACAAAAATATCTGATTGAGCATGTTTTCCTGTGTTTGGGTTTGAGCAGGTTCCAAACTGGGACTTGTTGTGGATTTGAATGTTGTGTTAATAAAGCCAATATCTACCATTTCGTTGGATTTGGGTCAGCAAACTGGAATAAGTCCTATCACGTAATCATGCAACAGTGCTGACCTATATGCACTTGCTTTTAACCAAGGCTTTGTCAAAACATTAAATAAGTACAGCCAAGAGAGGCAGGCCGCGAGTGCCGGACCAAAAAGACAAGTCTATGAAATTATAATTAGCTCAACAAGCAAACCAAAAAAGAAGCTCAGCATACCCGACAATGCTTCAGAATATGACCATGCAGGAGTTGCTATGATAGGTTCCCTTCTACTTTCCTGTCCAATGTTTGCTTCTGCTAGCGGTAGTGGGTTAGAAATTCTCGTCACATCTATATTTGCACCTTCTATTGTATTAGGGATGGAATTCATTGACGCGCCAATATGCACATCTACTGTTGGTTTAGGGATGAAGTTTATTGATGCATCAAGAGAACTAGAAACAGGTTTTGAAACAATAATCTCGCCTTCATTCCTCATTCCCAAGTAAGATGAATGATTAGAGGTATGATCTTGCTTTTGGTTATGAAAAGATAGCTTACAATCCTTAACAGAGCTGTTGTTTTCATTATGCTTTGAAAGGATGCTAGTCAGTTGTTTCTGCAAATCCGTCAAACTAAACAATATCAAAACAGTATTGCAGGACAGCACCTCAATTAGCTTACTGATCTGAGAAATAATCTAGTTCACCAACTTACAGTTCATACCGCAGAAAAGCATCATTTCTCTTTGATTGAAACACACCATCATCTTTCAAAGTGTCAGACGAAGCTTTGCCTGAAATTAAAAATAATAATAATAAATAGAAGGTGAAGGTATATATGTTCACAATTTACCTTAAGCATGGCAGCAATTTTCTTTATTCTCAACTAAAAAAAAACTAGGCCTTCAATTGCCAAAGTGAATATATAAGAAAACTAAAGAGAACAGATAGAAGAAAATGTCATACTGGATTGAATCGATCACTTTTAGATATGACTAGCAAGAAGGAAATAACAGACCAATAAGATCATCTCCTCCCCTATGCCTAGAACATATATAGTTACCTAAACAATGAAGAAAGACACAAGACAAAGAAAATGTGTTGCGTGCCTCTTTTAAGGAAATATAAAGGTCCAGGCTTCTTTGTTGAAAGAACCAAAAAGAAACTGAAAACCTTATGTTGGTTCCCTGATAACAAACAGCAGCGCCGACCATTTAATTGGATATCCATTCATAATTGCACGCATCTCACACAGTAGAACTAACAGACTAAAAAGCAATAACCTAAGGAATTAAAACCTAAACAAAAAAAAATGACATAGCACAAGAGAAATAAAAATAACATAATTAACAAATGATATTAAAGCCAAAGGCCAAACTAAGGATTTTTGGTACAGTGCAATAGCATCATTACTAGGAAAATAATTTCTAGATATTCTAGTGTTTTGGATTATTTTTGGCTTAATTCAATTTTATTTTATTTTATTATAAGGATTGCCAATATTTAAAAATTAGATAGGATTTTTTATAATTTATCGATATTCAAACTCAAATTAGTTTGATTTTATGTAGTAAATCTCTTTTTATAAATAGTATTTGAAAGGGCGCAATTAGAATCATCGAAGAAAAAGGATCAAAATGTTCCTTTGATTCTTTATGAAAGATCAAAATAGTCCTCAACTATATTAAAGAACTATTTTGGTCCCTTAAATTCTTGAAGAGAAACCAAAATAGTCTTAATATGGGATTACTATGATTCTTTTTAAAAACTCGAAAGATCAAAATAGTCCTCTAATATAGTTGGGGACCATTTTGGTCATCCATAAAAAGTCAAGGGACCATTTTGATCATTTTCCCAATTATTGAATGACGAAAGTTGAAAGATTTTCTCCTTATTATTCCATCTCCTCCCACCTCTCTCTCCTAACTAATGGTCTCACTTCTATCTCCTCCCAATCTCTCTATTTCTATACCAAATGGGTCTCCCCCTACTAATAATCTATCTCATAGGAATTAGGATTGCCAAACCCTTTCTCTATCTCACGCCACTTTTCTATCTCCAATTTTGTTCTTGAGGCGAAGACAAATTCAACTAAGAGTAAGAAAAAAGATACCGAGCTTTGGATTTGATCATCAAGAGCTCATATTAAATTAGCATTAATTAATTATTCTTTCTACATTAATTTGATATAAAGCCAATTTTTTTGTTGATAATTGTACACAAATCAAAACCATTCATATCCATCCCTTAACAATAGTCATCCCACACCATGACATATATAAATCCAAGAAAATTGACGTGGAAAAGACATGTTATGCTAGGAAGTTGCATCACAAACATAAAAATATGTTCATTGAGTTACAATTCTCCTCATTACGAGTTTATGTAATGAATTTATTGTCATGTTTCATCAAGATTATAAGCATATAAGTATGTGAGATTATTATGGATATAGTTTAGATATGCGTGAATTGTATTCTCAGAGTGATTATAAGTTCCTAGACATCACTTAGTACACACTTAATATTAGAAATATTATGCAAAGGTATTAGATGAAGTCATTGAGAGATCATATAGTTAATGTTTATATGAATGTCGTGATTACATATATCATCATAGCATTTATTCTTAATAATATGACAATTAGAAATCATATTATAATGGATTTCATGATTAGAATGACTTGATTGTTCATAACTAGAAAAATACTATGCTGGCGGCTTTTGTTAAATTATAATTATCCCCATGGAACTTTTGAGGATAATACCAACTCCTACTCCCTTTTTTCCTAAGGCTCCATCAACATACATCGCTAGGATTGGTCTTGCATACTGATAGGAAACACTTGGATTTCCAAGTGTTTCTCACCAAAACCAACTAGATCCAAGATGAAAACTGTTGTCCACAACAGTAAAACAGCCAAAAACAGTATAAAACAGGGAAAATCTGAGAGAAAAATGAAGAAACAACTTGTATTTTACTAGTAGATGCAAGGAAAATAGCAAAGATACAAGGATCCTCTATTCGAGAGGAGGATCGCACTCTCCCAATCTCTAGATCTCGATCTAGAGCCCTCACTATCCAAGAAGAATAAAGAAATTCTCACAAAACATGACATAACCCTAATTCCTCCCTTTCTCCCTACTTAATGCATTCTAATTCAAAACAAAAGCAAAAGGACATCTCTACCCTCCCTTCTCCCTCCAAAAACACTTAAACTTTGTTTGAATTGCAAGTGGACCCCACCCCCAGCCCCTTCATGTTGTCCGCCGGCTCCCTGTTCTGTTTCCGCCTGGAGAAGACCCGGACCGGCTGGGCCGGTCCAGGTTGGGCCGGTCCAGGGTGGACCGGTTTGTACCCTTCTTGTACTCTTTTATCATCTTTAATGAATGTAATATGCAAATTTAAAGATTCATAACTAACTAAAATGAGTGGACCTGAAATTAGGTCATCATCGTCGAGCAAAAGTAACAAAAGCCCATGCAAGCTTCTACATAATTAGGTATCATTGCTCGGTGTCGCACAAAGGTTAGCTTACATAATACACTGGGCATTGTTTCCTCCCTTCCTCACAAACAAGCATTGAGCTTATGGCATCCTCACCAACTCCAAGGTATAATAGCAAGTCTTCCCCTACCCTCGGACTTTGAAGCAATGGAGGCAATGAGAGGAGAAGCTTTAACTATGGCAAGGCAGCCTCACACTCCTTGCTCCAGGTGAATTTATTTACATCCTTAGCACTTTGAAGAAAGGATAGCACCTTTCACCCAACCTAGAGATGAAACAGCTGAGCCCTATGATTCGCACAATGTGTCCCTGCACCTCGTTGGGAGTCCTTGGAGATAGCATCTTCATAATCATTTCACCTTATCTGGGTTGACTTTAATGGCTTCATATGTGACAAAAAATCAAAGTAACTTACCTAAACTTATGCCAAAGGTACATTTTAAGGGATTCAGACACATATTATTCCTTTTAAGTATGGTGAATATCTCCTTTAGGTATTGAATGTGTTGCCCTGGTAACTTGCTCTACACCAAGTCATCTGCATACCTTTGATGTTTTGCCCTTCTACTCCCCAAAGCCTTAATCCATCATTCATTAATAGGTCGCCCTTAAGTTGTTGACCCAAAAGGCAGAATCTTATAACAATACAAGCCTATGATGAAAGATGTTTTCTTGCATTTGTCTGGATGCACTTTAATATGATGGTATCCAAAGAAAGAATCCAAGAAACTCATCATCAGGAATGCAGCTACCAAGTCCACCGACAAATCAATTCTTGGAAAAAGGATACCCACCTTTCGGGCATGCCGAGTTAAGGTTTGTGACATAGACACACATACTCCATTTATTAGTAGCCCTACACCATAACCATATTGGAAATACATTCTAGTTGTTGAACTTCCCTAATGAACCTGGCAATGAGCAGCTTCTTTACTTCCTGCATAATTGGCTCGGTGAGCAAGGTGGTTGTCTTCCTTATCTTTATTTAATTGGCTTAGCTCCCTATTTCATGTTCAACTACGACAGACAGCTTCTTCATCAATGCCCAACATTTCCACTATAGTCCATGCCTAGCACTTCCACTATTGTACATGCAAAAAATATCAAATCCATCCATAAAAGACTAAAGAAATCATTAATTATGGGGAATCTAAGAAAAGACTAACGAAATCCAAAAAAAAACTCTAATAGGTCGGCAATTTGCCAAAAAAAGATCAAAAATGCATCTCTTCACCATTTATTTAAAGGAATGTGAGGGCTACAAAAAAACTACATCAAAAGAGATAAAAAGTAAACCATTAATTATGGTTCATGATTATGGACCAAACATGACACGTGTCATGGATTGTTAGGCATCCACAAGCTCTTTGCCTTCAGGTCAATCCTTGGTCTCAAGGCGAGTTTTCAAGGGTGAGTAAGTAAAGCGAGTCTCCTCAGCAGACTGGAGAGTTGATAAGGTGAGTCCTCTGGGCGTGCTAGCGAGTATATAGGTATAATTTTCGAACAGTTAATTCAAACTGTGAGTTTCTTTGGGGTATGATAACCGCGAGCAAAGAGTTGGCCGAACCCTTGACCTCCTAAGATGTTCCTTCCCTATAGTTGTGCTAAAATTCTGGTGGTGGAGATCTGGGCAAGAGCAAGTAACCTTGAGGGGTTACCCCCTATTGAAGAGTGGGCTTTTGAGAGTCAAAATGGATTTGTATGAGTTCGTTGCAGCTTCTGTTGGGGACCATTATTTGACTTTTCGGATCTCGACGAGTCATGTTCCTTGATTGGCGAGTCCTTGTTGAGGGTAAGGTGACCATCCCGACTCAGCTCATCACTATAACTTGTTAAGTCTGAGTTCTTCTATCTAAACCTCTTAGACACCTATAAATACCTTATATGGACATATACAAAGAATTTTATATGGACATATACAATAATTCATTGGATAATAATAAAGTTGCATCACTATACATTAATTAATCATGCTAGAGATTATAAAATTCAATGAACCAACAAGAAAGACATGCACAAAACACACAAAAAAAAATTATGATGCAAGTGGAGAAAAAAAGGAACTTGCCCTCTTATGATGAAAGGAAAAGAATCATAAAAAATTGAAAGCATAGAAACAAATAAAATGATTACTAACAAACAGTGGAGTATCCTATAACCTAAATGGTTAATCACATGTAAAATAGAAAGATAATAAAATTAAGAAGAAGAAGAAGAAGAAAATATTATTTAGAGAATTGTATTAAAAGGTCACACATTGAAAAACCTTTACCCAGAGTACACGTAGTACTAAAATACACTGAGGAACTCGCCTTTTTAAAAGTTATTTGGCAATTAAAGAGTGATGGTTACACTTCCATAAACAGACTCATATAAAATCTAACCCCTATAAGTGCCATGTCTACATAGATTTAGGTGAATTATTCTCAAGTATGCACATAAGTCAATCATCTACTTGGGTTTGCTTCTCATATTTTGGCAACATTACTTTCATGAGAGTCCAAATTATTTATTTTTACCTATCAAAAATTAGTAATAAAATTATTAAATGGCCACTTCAAGTAAAACTTGGGTTATTTAATGTTGAGACAAATAAAAGTTTCCCTGCCTTAACCTGAGTACATAGTCGGTCAAAATTCATGTTGTGTTTGACTTGCACCCAAGAATGATATCAATATAGATTAAGTACCACATGCAGATTGACACAATCAACTGCACCACTTAGGGCTCGTACAGTAACGTATTTTGCTACTTTTCTAAAAGCTTATTTTACATTGGGAGAGAAATGAATCATGGAAGACCCCCCCCCCAAACTCATACACCCCTTCCACAGCTTCACAACTATGGATAAAATTTATCTGTGGCAGAAATTCCATCTGTGCTAGAGTACCGCTGAAATTATTTCGCACGGCACAACATTATCAAATCATAACTTAGATTTCGTTTGGGACAATTTTTTACAACGGTTTTTTTGCTACGTTCAAGAAATCTTTAAAACTGCTTTAGAAAAAAAACAATCCCAAACGAAACCATAATAATTCATGCAATGCAAAATGTTCCATAAGTCAGAATGCCAAAGTAAACATTTAACTAATAAATGAATAGCAAACACTAGAAAATTAAAATATCAAGTGCAAACTTTAACTTGCAAATGAATAGCAAATACCACTTGTAAAGGAATGGTAAGTACCACGAAATGAACAACATTGCAAACCAACAATAGCCTACAGAAAAACCATTTTTTCAATTTCAAGAAACATCAAGAACATAAAGGCAGTTTGCAAGACAATTAAGGCTTCGTTTGGGACGACTTTCTTGCTGCTTCTTAAAGCAGTTTTTTAGTATACAAATTTTAACTTTTATACTAGAAAGCAGCTTTAAGAAGCAGGAAGAAAGCCATTCCAAATGAAACCTAAGTCCTAGTACTCAGCTAAACAAGTGCTTACATAAGGAATTATCAGCTCGAATTTTAACACCACCATTTGTTGACTTTACTGAAGCCCTTGCAGCAGATAGCAGCATGCCCTATTCAACAAATATTGTGTTAACCACTTTATTCCAAGCTAAAGGGAAGCATAAAATAGCAATTTGTTCAAAACACAAGCTCAACAAAAAAACCACAAACAGAACTAGTAAGAAGAATTTTAGGCAAAAGCTGCTGCAAGGGAAAACACATGCAGTAAATTTTACAATCTCAAGTTGGGAAAGCTTGGGAAAACTTAGAAACTGACAGCTAGTTCGGGAAATAGTATCAAAATCATAAAAATCTATTAGAAAACAAAGAGTGAAAATAGAAAATTCATACAGTTCATATGCACTATAAGTGAAGTTTGACCATAAAATTCAACCAAAAAATGCAGAATTTTTCTCTTGAAAATGGTCTCCTTCAGCATATCTTTAGAATTTGCAGCATTAAGTAAAAAGAATCACTCTTAGGCAGAACCTTGATGAAAAATTCCAATGCACCAACAACACAAGCACATATTAGATAGACGTTTGTGCGCACTAAATTATGATATTCCATGCAAATTCACGGATCAAGGTCCAAAGAACTGCACCATGCCTAAAGAATGATTTATTCATATAAGTTTACCTAGTAAACGTGTAAAACTAAATTTTTCTCCCATCTGACCGAATTGCTCTTCCTTGATCAATGATAAACAACCGCTTTCAAAGCAATAGCAGTTCAACCTGCTTAGGTGATCACATTTATTGGTTATATGATAGAGCTAAAATATTGGGAGGATCAGAATCCAAGGGTCAGACTCTTGAATGCCTGTGCAAGAACCGGCCCTGCACCTAAAATTGGGCCAAATTTGTGATGCAAACCCATCTCCCACGCATCAGCTCATGTTGTCCCAGAAAAACTACTTTCAGATGTTCTAGAGGGCCTTCAGATGCCATAGCTTAGCCCACATAGCCCACAAGCGTCAATCGATCAAGCTAGGACATGCTAATTAGATTGATCATGCCAAAAAGTTTACTAAAACCAAAATTTGAAACAAACAGACAGATTAAGCTCAAGGTTTCTTACAATGTGCTTACAACAAACATGTTAGTATCTGCCACTTAATAATGACATAAAAATGATAAATAAGAATTTTTAAGCATAAATTTGAATCAATGGATGAAAAAAGAGGCTTCCAACAAGTAGAATAAATTTTGAATGCATTATTTATTATGCCTAAAAAAAGCTTTAAAGGGCTGTTTGGTTTGAGCATTTTGGGTGCGAAGTAAATGAAATGCAAGAATTTTTATTTTTTGGGTATTTTGTTTGATGTAAAGTAAAAGGAATGTAAAATTTTGAAGGAATAGGAATCCCTTGAAATTTTCATTTACGACGTATTCAAAACAACTCCTCAAAACCCACCACATTCTCTCTCCTCCCTTATGTGTTTCATGAAACACACGCGCCCTTTTGCTCCTGCGAGGTCGCGAGTTCCACCTCTTTCTTCTTCGAGCTCATGATTTCACAGAGAGAAGTACCCTTGCCACAACAACTGTCCTTCATCTCTGACATGCTTGCGGCTACTCTCTGACTTGCTACGGCTCAGATTTGATTCTTTTCAAATTTTTTAGTTCTATTTTGGATATTTTGTTTACTTGTAGTTACCTTTTTATAGTTAATGGAAATGGGTTGTCCATCAACTTACCCAAAAAAAGGGATACCAACACTACCTAAATAGCTTCGAGGCACAAGCCTCTTTCCTCATTTTTTTCTAAATCTGCGAAGAACAAAAAGAACATTAACTTAAAATTAATAAATAAATTAGCCTCTAGGACGTTCTGATAATATTACATTTGAGATATTTAGCAAGCAGTAGAAAAAAAAAATCAGCCCACATCAAAGAATGATTAAGATACAAACAAGAAGTTGAAACCAATAAAAGTTAAGACCTTTGGCAGCTTCCCCTTCTTCTTCAACAACTTCAGGTGTAGTTTCTGAATGTAGTGCATCAAATGGTACTTAGAATGCCTGGCAAGCAACCTGTCCCTAAACTCTGTGTTCAAAGTCAACCAGTCCGTGATCTCCTTCGAATTGACGATCATATCTTTGTCCAGCGTCTCCAGCCACGAGTACACTGGACGCCACTGGTCCGTCCTTTGAAACCTGTAAGGAAATTCCGCCTGGCTACATCCCGACGACTACAAGTGTAGTGAAGCCATTACAAAATATTGGGTCAGAACCTAGCAATTAAAGCGAATGGCAACGAGCGAACCTGAGAATATACCGGGACGGTGAAGCGGAGAGAGAGGATTCGCTGATGAAGATCGCAACGAGGGAGAGACCGAATAACTTTTGGTATGGAGGAAAAATTGGAATCGATCCAGAAGTCTATCTCGCTCGCCGAAGGGTCGCGGTTGTCTGGAAGAGACGAGAGCCAGACTCGGGCGGCTTCCTCCCATTGCTGCCACATCATCTTAGGATTATAATCGCTGGATGTACAGTTAAAACTGGTAAGGAGAGCAGCGGATGTTCCATCGGGGAGGAGGGTTTGGAGAGGAAATGGGCTGCGACATATCTATCGGATCTATGGAGGAACTCATGAGGGAGTAGGTTATGTTTGAGTAATATAGGGGTTGTTTGGTTTGTAAAAATAATGATATATGAAAGCAATACAGCGTATGAGGTTTATAAAGGGAACATTTTAATGGTATTGGATGAGTAATGAGGGTAAACAAAATATAATTGGGTAGGAGATTTATAAAAGGAATATTTTAATGTCACTGGATTACTTATGAGTATAAAATAAATATAGATGGTGGCACTTGTCGGTGATAATGATGGTGGAAAGTGTAGGTGGTGATTAACAATGATGGTTGCCGGCTATCGGTGACTGTAGTGGCCATCCGGAGGTGGCACCAATCGGCGGCAATAGAATTTTGATTGTATTGAAAATAATTTTTTCCTAAAAATTATTATGAATTATTTTTTATTTCACTATGCATTTCTTTCATCAACCAAATATTAATATTTTTCTAAGAGTGTAAAAAATTGACCTGACTCGCAAACGTGACCTACATTTGACTCTGAAATTTCGGGTTCGAGTTGAACCGTTTAATAAATGAGTCGGGTTTTTGTTCCGACACATAAATTCAACCCGTTTAATAAACATGTAGGGTTTGAGTCAACCTGCCAACCTAGAATTAACATGATTTTGACCCGAATCAATCTGATTTACAATACTTGCTTGAAGAAGCATGAAATGTTAGAAAGTACCACCGTCGCATCGAGTGAACTCCATCGTCGTTGATTGAAGGAGCCGAAGTTGCAACGGCAGATTTACAATATTTGGCTAAAGAAACACCCGACATTAGGAGAAATATGTGAGCTCCTGTGACGTCGTGACATGTTGCCGTTGAGGGAGGCGAAATTCCCAACTTTTGTTTTGAGTTAGTGGATCGAGTCGTGTAGGGTCAGCTTCGAGTATGAGATTTCAACTCGTCTAGATAAAGGCTCAAGTTTGGGTCAAGTGTATTAAGAGCGGGTCTATTTCGGATTTGACCCGATCTGAAAACACTTTTTTGCATCCCTAATATCTTCAATACTCATGTAAAACAATAAAAAGTATTACACTCACTTTACTCCAAACCATACATACCTTATATAATTTGACGTCAATAGAGAGTGCCTTGAAGTCCCAATTGCTGGATCGGAGATCCGAGCAAAAATTAGTTTCCATGCATCATAATTTTTTTATCTTAATAATTTTTGTGGGTTTTCAAAGAAAACATTGTTTTCTTATATCCCAACGTGTTTTTTATTAAGAATGTATTTGGTTGCTTAGAAAAGAAACACAGTGTATTTAAAATACTTTGGGGATGTTTGGTTGCGTACAAAGTAAATGCAGTAGAACCTTTTTTTCTGTGAGGTATACACAGAGTAAAGTAAATGCAATGTACTTTGAAAAATTAGCTATAAATTTAAAGAAAAAATATTGAATTTAAAAATAAACATACATAAAATAAATTTTGTTATAAAATTACAAAAAAAAATATGAATTTCCCATCCTTAAATTCTGCTCTGGATTGCTCTAAAACAATAGTTGCAGCTGCTTCTCCAAAATTTTTTTCCATGACAACTGCTCTCAGTATTTCATCCATATACCGGGTTTTGGTACCGATTCCCAATATCTCGATACCGTGGGCCTGTACTAAAAATATATCGATATTTTTTCCATGACGATGCTCTTGGTATTTCATCCCGGTACCGAGTTTTGGTACTAATTCACGGTATCTTGATATCATGGGCCGGTATTGAAAATATATCAATACAGCTAACTGGTACCAAATGTTGGTACCTGTCGTCATTATAGATTAATGCGGTGTGTCATATTTATACTAAACTTTAAACTCATTTTCATATTTATACATGGTGTTTATTCAAGTGAGAAGAAGCATATAAGATGTATAATAATTATGCTCATAACTTTTGATTTAATGTTCATAAATAACATAATAGTTACTAGCCAAATTCGAGGATAATTAAATCAAATGACTTTGTATATTCAAAAGCTATATTTAAGAAGGGCATTGACTTGAATTCCAATTTGAAATATCAAAAATCCAATACCATAACTATGGTTAGATTTTCAATAGATGAAGATCGAGTTTAGAATGTTTAAAAATTCATTGAGAGCCACAATCACAAATTAGTTGGGCCTGAAGATCAATTTTTGTTTAGATCATGTAGGAAGATCAGTTATGAGAAAGCATCAGTTCTTAAATCCATGACAGAAGCTGAGATATGAACAGTTGATGCATTTGCCTACGTACGTAATAAAGCAGGAGGTGTAAGAAATATAGGTTTCTCTAATAGGGATGTATATAATTTTATTCAAAAGGAGAGAAGAGTGAAGATTGAGAATGGGGACACAAATTTTCTAATTGAATTACTTGAATAACGTCTAGTTTATGATAACATGTTTGCATTACAGACTGATAAGAATTATATATTATTGTTGATGGTTTAGGGAGGATAGATTATGACTGTTTTGGTGATATGATTATTTTTATACTAACTATAGACTTAACAAATATAATTTATCTTGTGCATCATTTGTTGAAGTTAATAATCATTGGCATGATGTTCTTTTAGGGTTTAATTTTTTATCAGAAGAGACTATTGAATCATTTACCTGATTATTCAAAATATTTGTATGAATAATAGTGATAAACATCCCATAATGATATTTAGTGATTAGGACCACGTAATGGCTAGGGCGATTGAAATTACATTGTCTCAAACACGACATAGATTGTGCCAATGGCACATTAACAAGGTGCTTTGATAGTAACAATAGATGGCTTTTTCATAGGTGTAAGTAAGTGTGATTATGAGGAAGAGTTTCATAAAAATTGAGCTTAAATGATCAGTGAATGAGACCTCCAGATATATGAATGGTTGAAAGATATTTATAATAAGGAATAAGTGGTCAACAACATTCAATAAAAAATATTTTAACGTGGGCATTCCTTCTACACAGCGTAGCGAGTCTTCTAATAATGTGTGTCAAGATGTAAACAATAAGTTCTATAACTTTTTTTTTAGCTTAGAGAAGCTGATGATGACTTGGCGTCGAAGTAAACATGATGAAGATTTCATATACAGCTAGTCTGACATAATACCTTTAATTAAAAGTAGCCTATTATTGAAGCAAGCTGCAAATTTTTACAAAAGAAAAATGTATTCATTTTTCGAGGAGTTCTTTCAAAATGTGGGTGGAATGTGCATAGATCATGCTTCAAGTGACTTGTCCATCTTTTTTGTGAAAAAGTGTGGTTAAAAGAGATCAGATGCCCTATTGGATTGTTCACTTTGATTCAATGGAGGGTACAAGTAAATGTAGTTGTGGGAAGTTCAAAATGATGGGTTTACTATGTTCTCATTGTATGTGAGTTATCAGATAGTTAGATATTGTTAGAATTCTTTCACAATACCTCTTACTTCGATGGTTAGCTAAAACCAGAAAATATATTTATTATGGATAAAATGTCACGGGTATGGGAAAAAAGGCGAACCAAACTCAAGAGGGTGGTAGTGATATGATATTTAGAAATCATCTAATCAGATTTTCATATCAAAATAACACACAAGTGCAGGGGAATGAGGATGTATAACCAAGGTTTTCAGAACCGGATCGGACAACGAACCGGAGAAAGGAGAGGTTCACGGTTCGACCGATCAAACCGGGGTCGAACCGGATGACGTAATAAATAATAATATTATTTAAAAAATAAAATAAAAATCAAATTTTCCTGTAATTCATTCATTCAACATTCTATTTTCATAACTCCTAATTAAAGTAACATAAACATGGCATCAATTAAGTTTATGAAACATAAACAAATAGCATATACTATAAGTGTCTCTTCAAATAAGTCAATAAAACATAAACAAGTGTATAGCTTTCAATCTATAGATTTCACTGTTCTGCTCACTGATTGAAGAATATATAAACATTTTTATATATGAATGAGTGCTACAAAAAGCCCATCATTTCAATCTATAGATTTCATCATAATCTATAAACATTTCAATCTATAGATTTCATCATAATCTATAAACATTTTTATATAAACATTTCAATCTATAGATTTCATCATAATCTATAGATTTCACTAGATTGAAGAATATATAACCCTAAACCCAAATACACAAACATTTCAATCTTGGATTTTTTCACGCACACTTTAAACATTTTAATCTCTATCTATCATATCATCTTCTTCTTCCAAATGCCCATCAACATTAACATTAGGGTTACCATAAAGCCACAAAATCTGAACAAATCAAACCAAGCATAAATGGAGAAGAAATGCAAGCATGTCGATACAATTTGGAGAATAAATGCAAGCTTAAATGCATAAAAATAACAAAAAAATAAAAAAAATTTAAGAACCTACGGCTGCGAGGCTGAGCTCGATGGGTCGGGTAGGAGGCCAAAAGCGAGTCTCGTTCGCGGCGGAACCTCCATCGGGATCGTCCGAGGCGGCTGGGAGGTCGGAAGCGGAACCTCCGTCGGGATCGTCTGAGGCACGAGTCTCGTTCCATGACTTCTCCCTTCCGTCGTTCGCGTATGCTAGGGTATACAGGAGACGAGCGACACTTATACGAGTACCGATACCCAAATATTCTAAGCCGTTGGATTGCAGATCAAGGGCTCAAATTACAGCTTTAACGACGGACCGGCCGGTTATTTCATAACCCCCCGGTTCGGCGGTTCAACCGGGATTTAAACCGGTTTTTACCCGGTTCTTAAAACAGCCGGTTAATCCTTCTCTCTGGACCGCCCGCCAGACCGGTTCGCGGTTGAACCTGTCGAACCGGCCGATCCGGTTCGGTTCTGAAAACCTTGTGTATAACAGTATATGTTGCCAGCAATGATCGGGATGGCTGAAAATATTGACTTCATCCTAGATGAAAAGAAAAACAATCAATCGTTTGTTAGCAATGTTCCATGTGGTGGGCATAAGAAAGTGAAAGACCTACTAAAGTGCATAGCTAAAAGCATTTCTAAAGTAAGAGTGAAAAGTCACTAGGAAAAAAAGGAAAACTAAGAAAATGAAACCTTCATAATAAGCCCCTCCAACCACATA